TGTGTGTGTGTGTGTGTGTGTGTGTGTGTGTGTGTGTGTGTGTGTGTGTGTGTGTGTGTAAGAGAAGCAGAATGAATAACAGAGAGAAGGAGGTAATGAGTACATGCAGCCACAGTACATCTCCATGCAGGCCCAGCTGTAAGAACTTTTTGATCACGCATTTGTCTAACAGTTAACTAATAAAGTTTAATTCTCTGAGACGTGCTTAAGTGGTTGCGAGCTGCTCTAAAGCTTCCAGGGAGAAGGAGGAGGGATGCATTGAGCTCAGCTGAGGCCTGCTTCACCACAGCACTTCTGACTGTGCTCAGCAGGACAGTGGCTTAAACCCTCACAGCTTCAGCTACACTGAGGATGTTTCCTGGGTACATCTGTTCTACTACATGGCACTGCAAACAAACATCTGTGTGTAAAGTGAACTTTCTAAAGCAGGGGTTCACTAAGCACCCATTTGAGAAGCTGGTGCATGGATTAGTGTTAAGTTAGCGTTTGTAATGTGTCTATTCAGAGAGCGCTGATTTATGCTGATGATTGTCATTTTTAAGCCAAAGTGGAAACAAAGGTGAGATCTTTTAGAGACCATGTCATGTTTCTTGACTTTTAAATTCTTAGTCAATATACAGTTGGGAAAGTGACTAATAGTAATTTGATCGCTTGTAGAATTTGTAAGTTTGCTCACTTCCAAAGAAATTAATTGACTGGACACTTTATTTTAATGGACAGAGACACAGAATATCAGCTAAAAAAATCCAGAAAAAATGCATTACATGAAAAATATAGACTCATTTTCACAAAGTGAAATAAGTTTTTGCTCCCTAAGCAATACACGACTTAGTACATGGTGGAAAAGATCTTGTTAACAAGCAAGATGCTTCTTGCAGTTGGTCACCAGGTTTGCACACATCTCAGGAGGGATTTTGTCCGACTGCTTTTTAAAGAATCTCTGAATCCTTTACATTTCTTAGCTGCCACTGGGCAACTTGAAGCTTCGGCTCAATCCACAGATTTTCTAAACGATTGAGGTCTGGAGACTGGCTAGGCCACTCCATGGCTTTAATGTGCTTCTCCTTTAGTCTCCTTTGTTGCCTTGGTGGTATGTTTTGGGTCATTGCCATGCTGGAACATGCATTCACAACCCATCTTGAGTGTTTTAGATGAGGGAAGGGAACTCTTGTCCAGTATTTTGCAGGAGATGGTCCCATCCATTGGTCCCTCAGTGCAGTGAAGTTGTCCTGTAGCCTAAACAGAAACACAGCCCCAGTGTTGTTTTACTGTGGGGATTTTGTTCTTTGGATCATACTCAGCATTTTCTTCCTCCAACACGACACTCCCACATCGATTGGGTTTTTTCTTCATGGAACTTTTTGTATTTTGTTTAAGGTGTTTCATCAATTATGATAAAGGATGGTTTTTGGGTTAATATTCAGTCAACGATGTCCTGCAGTCTGGTCTTCTCCACTCTACACCTTAACACACCAACTCTATTTTTTTCTGTTAACGACATTTAGAAGGCTTTGATAAATAGAACGGACAAACTGAAACGCTTTCTCTATCGTATGACATGAACTGCGGAAGTAAATACTTCATATTCAACCTTTGGTTCATAGCCCTTGGAGATATTTGTTTCCTATTGTAAACAAGTACCCTAACACACAGCCCACACACTAACATGTGTGTTAGTCAATGCTTTGTGTAGTCTCTTTTCTTTGTGCCACAGTGTTTTTACAAATCATGTTTGCTGCCATAAATACACCTTCGTCCTGCTTTAAATATTCACTAGATTGCCAAATCTTAGCTAAAAATAGATCAGGACAAATGGACAATTTACTCGTGTTTGTTTTTTAAAGATAAATTATTTATGGGTTTTGTTACAGAAAAATAGAGGCCAACATAGTCACAGAGGTGCAGACAGCACACAAACCCTCACCCTACTCCATTCACAATCCCAACATGCTAACCAAAATAAAAGCATCAAACAAAATAACAACAAAATAACAAAATCTATTCTTATATAAAGGTAAGACTGGTGTAGAAATTTATAGTGCATCATTTGCTGTTTTGGACTTCTGGATGTCCACATGTTGTTGTGATTTGTTGTGATTTGAGGCTGTACATATAAATACAACTGAACTGAATCGTTATAGCTAAAGAAAAAGCAAAACACGAGAGGTTAAAGGTTACAATCACAGGGATGTAGTCATGGTCAAAACGACCTGGTCCAGTTCAAACTCAGCATCAGAATGGGGCAGAAAGGTGATTCACGTGACTTTGAACTTGGTGTGTTTGTATGTCCCAGACAGGTTACACTGAGAAAAGGTAGATGTACTGGGATTTTCCCACACAACCATTTCTGGAGTTTAGAGAAAAAGGCAGTTCTCTACTTAAATGATGCCAGAGGTCAGAGGAGAACAGTTTATCATTTGGAATTCATCAAGATCTTGTTTACTGTGTTATCCTGAACTGTAAAAGCAGATTTGTGCCTCCAGTGTGCTCAAAAACTGAAAATATTAATTACTTAACTTAAATACCAGTGACTCATTAAATAATAATAAATGGTAAATGGCCTGTATTTATATAGCGCTTTTCTAGTCCCTAAGGACCCCAAAGCGCTTTACACATCCAGTCATCCACACATTCACACACTGGTGATGGCGAGCTACATTGTAGCCACAGCCACCCTGGGGCGCACTGACAGAGGCGAGGCTGCCGTACACTGGCGCCACCGGGCCCTCTGACCACCACCAGTAGGCAACGGGTGAAGTGTCTTGCCCAAGGACACAACGACCGAGACTGTCCAAGCCGAAGCTCGAACCGGCAACCTTCCGATTACAAGGCGAACTCCCAACTCTTGAGCCACGATGACCCATATAATAATTTTGACCTTATTAACAGCCAATCAGTTTGGTCCCATGGTTAAGCTGTAGCAATGCAACACTCCTTTGAAATCAAATGCAGAATTGTAAAGTAAGGCGATATTTAGCTGACTAAACAGCTTTGAAATGACTCTTTCTGTGGGATCAACAGTCACTTTCATTAACTTTATTAATGATGAACTCACTGCACTGTTATTTTGGATCAGTCTTTGCTGAGAAAGAAACAAAACAATGTCAGAGTAGTCAAGTATTTATTTATTCATACCAGATATAAATGGCCAACAATTTAGTTATGGAAGTATTCAAATGAAAATAAAAACTGGATGCTAAAGACTGAAAACAGAAAAGCTACACTGCAAATAGGTAAAGGAGACAGGGAAAAAAGTGGGCCTGAGCGTGACGGCAAAAGATTCGTGTTTCAGTGGAATCTTGGGAAGCCTGTGTTGGTTTAAATGCATGTAACAGAGAGTAGAAAACTAACAAGAGTGGTGTGAAATCCTCTGCTGTTACCGAGCCCCTCTTTTGCACGCTGCCTTCTGTTATTCCAGTCCAGCGGGGCTTACCAGCAGAGAGAGTGAGAGAGTCTATGTGCAAGAAGAGCGGGACCAGCGCCAACTCACCCCACCCTTACTGCTGCTGCCTGCAGAGTGAGGAGTGCTGCATTTCCTGAGGGCAATGCAGAGGAAGGGAGAAGAGGCTCGCTTCTGTTCAGGTCACCGTACGGCAAACAAAAAGCAGGGAAAGTGAGATGGGCAGAGTCAGGTGGACAGCGGTAGACAAGCTGCAGCATTCACCAGGATGGCTCTCTGCTGTAGGTGTTAAACGCACCGTCAGAGGACAGGAGTGGGAATAAAGCTTTTTTTTTTTTTTACATTCAAAAAAACTGCACCCACTTCTTTAACTTTCTTTGACTGCTCTGTGACCGGATTCTGTCAGACACTCACAAAATCAAGATGTTTTAGAGTATGGTGAAAATGCGATAATTTATGGAGAGCAAAACCGCAACACTGATAACAGGTCAGCAAATATTTTGATAGTAATTGTAGAGCAGGGGTTTTAGACTTTCACTCTGACAAAATTAGCGGTTTGAGCATGTTGCTTTGTGGCTTCAGGACATACTGGTGTACACTTTTCTTTATATTCTGTCATTTTATAGAGCTAGGAAATTGATAGATAATGAAAAGGTGGCTAAGAGTGAAGCACTTCAGGTGTCTGACATGTGTAACAACTCGGAGGTGATGACAGAGGTAAGCAGCCCCCCTCCTGGGACAGGAGGATTAGTGTAGACCCATTACCTTGCCCCCATGAATCACTGTTAATGGCTTCAGTGATAGGATCCAGTAGTAGTGAAGGTATTTAAATGGAGACCTCAAGTTGTGCTGTTAGAGCCACACGGTGAAGTGAAGTCTTTTATGAATAAGCTCGTCCACGCTGCAGATATACGCCCCCATTCCCAAGCTGAAATGAGCATACACCATCTGATCCTTAAAAATTTATTGAAGTTAATGTCAGATGAAATCATAAGTGATATAAGAAAAAAACAAGTAACCCTTGCATAGATCACAGACCATGCCTTTGTCGTCATCCGACAAACTGAACACATTGTAGCATAACCCTTGGTAAACACAACATGACAATGGCGGCTGGATTGGACAAACACAATTTGAGTTTGGCTCGCTCACTGGATGAAAAGAAGAGGAGACGAGTTCAACAGTCCTTTAGGCGCTTTGCTCCAAAAAAACAAACAAAAAAACAGGTCCTTCCCCATCGGTGAATAAATGTACAGTCCTGACAGAAAAGACAAACTCGTAGCCATTCTCATACAAACAAGAACTTCTCCCAGTATTGTCACCTTTGGCAAGTGAGATACACAACATCGCAACATTCAGTCATGTTCAGTGCCTCTTTATAAGCAGGCAAAAAGAAATGGAAAAAAGCAGTCCAACATCGAGACTTTTAATAAACAAGTATGCCTTTAAACCAGTGAAGTACAGAGGAGGGTGTGTGGCACAGGCCCTGTTTAGACAAGCTGGACACGTTTCCCACAACGCTGTCGTTACAGTTTAGACTGAGATCAGAGGGGGCGAAATGTCGTTCGAGAGAGGATTTCAGTCCTACAGTGGAGATAAAGTCTAAGAAACTAGCCCTTGACGTCCTTGCTCACATTCAGAGCCTCGCAAGCACAACCTGAACATCACGCACAGACGCTGACAAACGCCGTCTCAGTGATGAGGTCAGCGCTAAAGTGCTTTTAAGAAATCCAGCAAAGGACACGACAAGTTCTGAACAGGGCCTTACAGGAAGCCTTGGTGCAGATGAAAGCAAGGGTTTTCTTTCTTTTGTTTTTTTTTTTTTCTTTTAAATGATGCAACTGTATTATAGTTGATCCACAGTTTGAAAGGCAAAGCTCATGCATTCTTCCATCAATCATGCAGTTTTTTGCAATTAGTAGACTTCTGTAGAGATACATTTTAGCAGTAGAGATTTGGAAAAAAAAATGTGAACGTGGTGATTTTGAATGAATCGTGGGGTTTTTTTTTCATCATCTTCTTGGAACCAAAAAGACAAACTTTTTTTTTTTTTTTTTTAAATATATATAGTTTGTACACTTCTTGTCCATATCATCTAGTGTAAAGCACGTGGTCATAATACAGTAGTTTCATTATCATGGCTTACTTGGAGGAACATTTTGTTTTGATATTCCAGTATAAGGCATGTTCTTCCTAAATCATTCATGTTACGGTGCCACCACAAGTCAAACAAAACAAAGGAAACTAGGAACACACTTTAAAATTGTTTCTCATATATAATTGTAGTATATATTGGTTACTTTATCTTACTGTAGCTAAACTGCATGTTATTCTCATGACATTTTGTGATATTTTTTTCTTAATTAAATGTTTTTTTTAAAGATCTTCTCACTCATGTTTGTTTGCAGAAGCATAGCATCTGACAGGAAGCTAAACAAATGAGGATGTAAAATAATTTAGGCACCTTCTCTGTCTTTCTCTCTAACAGCTGATTCTCTGTAAGTGTGCTCTAGGCTCTTCCTTTGGGACTTTGCTATAAGTCTGACTGAACCCTTCGGGCGGCTTTGTTCCTCGCAGCGAAACTTCAGTCCGACCGGGGAGCTCAGTGGGAACGGCCACTGCTGCAAAGCCTACATTTGGATTTCTCACAAGAAAATGTCAGCCTCTACAGCTGACCCCTCTGACCTTTGCAAAAATCTCAGAACGAAAGACAAGAGGTTGGTACATAAGCAGCCCTGTTGTATCTGTCAAGTGTTTTTCTGACATTCAAAGTTGTGTTCCCATTTTTACAAAAAGCTTTTAAGGAACAGGTTACCTCTTATTCTATTGCTGTTAAGAATGGATGTTTCAGTTGGGTATTTGAATGTGTAGCACCATTCACACATGCCCTCAAAGCAGGAGTAGTGACAGTAATGTAAATGTGAGGGCAATCACTTGTATCTTCATCCCCTCGTGTTGGCGTTTCATGCAATCCTTCAATGATTTCTGGGTAGCTGCATGTAAGAAATTGCTATATTTTTTGTATTCTTTACGAGAAATCCTAGATAGAGTGATATCGTTCTAATTTTTTTTTTTTTTTTTGCATTTACTGACATTTGCCGTGCCTGAGGTGGACACGCTTCATCAGTACAGTACAGAGATCAGTCCCAAATGAAATGACGGACAGTGCCGCAAACTACTCAACCAGCCACCAACAACATAACAGAGAGGAAGATAAATTACTGAGAAGGAAATCATCTTTTCCAAAATGATTCAGGAAGGCTTGCTTCAGCCGCAGGAAACGTGTTAAGGGAGCAAAACAAGAACGGTAGCCGTGTACTAGCACCGCAAAGAATAACCAAACAACTCTGACATTCAAGTAGCACTGCAGTGTTTTCTTTTTACAGGATACTGTCAGGAGTGTGCTAAATGTAAAAGGAAACAAGGCAAAACAAAAATAACAATAGCATACAGTACAGTATAAAATCTAGCTATCATTCAGAGAAATTATTCTCAATACTGAGTGTAGGTTGATGTACAGTAGCTGGAGAATTTCAAGTACATTTTGTTCTACTCTATCTGCAGTCTGCTTGTCTGGAACAATATGCTGAGAAACGATGCACGACGAATGAACAAGCACAGGCAAAAAGAAAGGAAAATCTCACTAGTAAAGAAAAATAAGGACTTACGCAGCAGAATAAAACAACTGTGCAAAGAGATGGGCTTCACTTTGCTGTGCATCACATTGCCCAAAAATTTCAGTGTGACAGCTTTTAAAACTAGATTCAACTTCTCTGCCGTTTTTAAACACATTCGCTAATTTTCCTGTGACACTACGGTAACTTGACATGGCACTGTTTCAAAGAAACGGACACATTAAAAAGTCGACCTCATCCCATTAGGAGAGTCAGGCAATCTCTACAAACTACAAACGCGTTCTGATTGTGCGTAGCTTTGAGTGAAAAAAAGGAGCAGGATTGTGGTACACTATTTACCCTAAGTGCTTGTGTAAAGGCTATGCTTTGGGACTCTCACATTCAATATTGCATGACTGCAGTTTACACTTAAGGTTCCATTTTGCATTATGGTATAGGAAACCCTGCGTCGAAGCTTGCAGCTCTGCAGTGTGTTTGCAATGACCTCACTGAGGTAGAGACCTTGAAAGGATGCATGGTGCACAAAGAAAAGCATGAAAAACAAAACAATGGATATTCCCTTTTGAAGTGGAGTGGTAAACATGCAGAGTACAATACATTGCTGCTCAAGGGTATAAATAAGTGCATGACAGCATAAAATCGGGTTTGTGCATGACAGCATGGATCTGTTTTTTTTTTCCTATCATATTGACCCAAATCACCTGCTCACCTGGCATCATAGCATCATAGCAAACACGGTTTCAACACTAAGACAGAAGGTGGACCAGCTCTGCACAACCACACAAACACCGCTGAACACAGAGGCACTTTCACTGGTCCTGTTGATGAAAGGGGGAAAGGCACTAGCAACTAAAGTCAGAATATATTTCTGATAAATATCCTTCTCGGTGGATTCAAAACCAGCATGACCTAAATTGGAGATGGAGACAGAAGCATGACTTTAATCTGTTCTGTTGTCAAAAAAGAAGGTCCATGCAGTGCACTACTGACTAATACAGTAATCGGTGCTTATTAGGATTATATGCTTTTTTGATAATATTTATTCAGTTTCTTTGCCTACTCTTAAATGATAAACTCTGCATCCTGAAGGTAGGTTCGGATATATTTGACCACAATTCAGAGACATCCAGAATTTGATTTCCTTAGTTTTCCTGACAATAGGGCACCACAAAGTGCCAAGATTTAGCAACAAGCTGTATACTCACGTCATGCATTAAATATACCAGGATACAAAAGTACCTTAGTTGACAGACCATAATGCAGGTTACTTTTTTTTCATGCTATGATCTCATTTATGTACTGTTCCCTTAAGATTTAACATTCAATTTCTATACTTCTAAATGATTTGCATTTTCGAACCAAAAACTCATCCAGTGCACTCGGTGTGAAAACAGAATGGAAGAGGGGCAGGGTGGGGGGTTGTAGGAGGGAATGGAGGCAGCTATCCAAAAGAACATCCTTTCCGGTGTTGTGAGATATGTCTTGTGCATGCCGATATCAAAATGGAAAGTCTCTAATCATGCTCATGTGAAGCTCACGTTCTCATTGTGCTGTGTCGCGTCTAAAGGGCATGGCATTGAATCACTTGGTGATGACACAATTACAGCAACTGCTGAGGAAAAAAACGAAACTAAACAAAAATGAAACAGCAGCATTGCAGATGTCTGTGAAGCAAGTAGATCGCCGTCTGTTTATATCCAAACAAGAGAGATCAGTCTTCCTCCTATAAGGTGCTTTGCCGAGTAGAAGATCCTTTGCGGAGAGAACGGGGAATGGAGGGAGGGTGTGTGTGGGTGGGGGTGGCGGGGGGAGGTCTCCTAACTTTTTTTGGCGCTTACCATTTGGCCGCAGATGCTTGCATGTCTGCAGTCATTTCTGGTGGGTTGTGCAACTTGCTGAAATGTTATCTGTACTCCATGCATATAAGATTTTAATTATCACACTGTGGTCTGAGAAGACGGCGTGTGCTCTGGGTCCTCGAGGGAGCCTGGTGTGTGTGTAATGATCAATGTTTCTCTCTGATGTGACTATATATTTGTAGTATCAGAATAATAATTCTTTCTACCTGTCATGTACTCTAACAGCTTTGTTTTGTTTTTTTTCTGCTTCCTTTCGGTATAGCTGAGCATAATTGCAGGCCTAATGCCATAGAGTGCTTTGGGGAGGTAAATGAAGCATTCCTAACTTACGGTCTACTCCATCTATAACAGTCTCGTAGAGAGACTAAAATTCCTAGCTAGTGTCTAAACATCAGTAAGCAGCTTGCTTTTGTTTACACAGTTCTGGTTGGCTATAGTGCAATTGCCAGTTCTGAGGTTTGCCTCCCTAAAGTTATCGATGCTATTGTTTATGTCTCCATCAATCTCCATGTACTCTGATTTGCTGACGGTAGACGAACTACGGCGGCTGGAGTTGGTTTCAGACGGGATGTTGGGAGTGCTGACGTTGAGCAGCTGGGCTTGCTCTTCTCCCTCTGTTTCCCTGTGGTAGAAGTAGTTGAAGTTGGACACGATGACAGGCACTGGGAGAGCAATTGTCAACACTCCAGCGATGGCGCACAGAGATCCAACAATCTTGCCTCCTATAGTGACCGGGACCATGTCCCCATAGCCCACAGTTGTCATGGACACAACAGCCCACCAAAATGCATCCGGGATGCTGCCAAAGTGCGAATCTTGCTCCTCTGCCTCAGCAAAGTAGACAGCACTGGAGAACAAGATGACTCCAATGAACAGAAAGAAGATCAGCAGTCCTAGCTCTCGCATGCTGGCCTTGAGGGTCTGTCCCAAAATCTGGAGTCCTTTGGAGTGTCGTGACAGCTTGAAGATCCTAAACACCCTGACCAGACGGATCACCCTGAGTATGGCCAGAGATGTTGCCTGCTCTCCCACCCCCTCGTTTTCTGGGTCTTCAGCCAGCTCAGTGCCAAGTGTAATGAAGTAAGGGATGATGGCCACTATGTCAATCGTGTTCATCATGTTCTTGAAGAAGGCCGGTTTGCTCGGGCATGCTAGGAAGCGTACTATCAACTCAAAGGAGAACCAGATTATACAGAGAGTCTCGATGATGAAGAAGGGGTCAGTAAGGATGTCGGGCTTATAATAAATTGTAATGTTCCCCACTCTCTCTATTCGGCCTGCTGGATCCTCTTTCAGTTGTGGTAAAGTCTCTAAACAAAATATAACTATTGAAATCAGGATCACCATCACGGACACTATGGCAATTCCCCTGGCAGGGCCCGAGCTTTCTGGGTGCTCGAAGAGGAGCCAAATCTGACGCTGGAACTCCTTCTCGGGTAAAGGACGCTCTTCCTCCCTGATGAAGCCCTCATCCTCACGAAACTTCTCCATCGCCTCTACTCCCAGCTCGTAAAATTTGATTTCTTCTGAGAACATATCCAAGGGGACATTCACCGGTCTTCTCAGCCTCCCCCCAGACTGATAGTAATAAAGGATGGCATCGAAGCTGGGACGGTTTCTGTCGAAGAAGTACTCATTTCTCAGAGGATCAAAGTACCGCATCCTCTTTTTCGGGTTGCCCAACAACGTCTCCGGAAACTGGGAGAGCGTTTTCAGCTGCGTCTCAAAACGAAGACCGGCTATGTTGATAACCACCCTCTCGCAGCACTCGTGGTCAGTGTGGTCAGGGGGGTAGGTGTCCTGAGGGTGGCCAGGGACAGCTGAGGTCTCGTCCATATTATCGCCCGCTACTACGGTCATTTTGGGACGAGGAGGTGATTAAAAGAGGGGGAGGAATTTTGCTGGGGTGTTGGTTAGTCTGGCTGAGCAGGCATTCAGGATTGGGAGGAAATTTTCCACTCCTCAGCTCCCCGCACCCCTGAAACTGTTGGAGACGTCCCCAGATACTAGGGGGGGGGCTGGCTGCTTTGCCTCAGTGCGGCTCCACTGTGGTTCTTGCTGGCTTGACCATTGCTCCTCTCCGGTGCATCTGCAGCTATTGTTGCTGCTGCCTCTGTCACCAGGAGAGAGGAAGAAAGGCAGAGATAGAAAGAGAGAGAGAGGGAGGGAGGAAATAATGGGATCAAACAGCCCAAGATATTTGCTGTATCAGCATTTTCTGCAGTTTACTTATTTATTTATTTATTTATGTCTCTCGGTGTGCATTGAGTGCAGTTATCCAACATTTAAAGTGTAAGGAAACACATGTGGTGGAGAATTTCTGTAAAATATGTCAAATATGACCACTTTAAAGCTCCCTCTAAAACTTAATAGTGACTTTCTAGTGGTGATATGATGCGGCAGTTATTTTCTACCCTGGCTTAAAATTCCTATTAAAAACAAAATCCACTGGCATTTTCATGTAGTTGCAAAATATTTCTGTAAAACGCTGACAAAGAAACGCAGGATCTCTTTCTTACAGAAGAACAACAGTGATTTGTCCTACGCCACTCACAACAGCCTGAATTATGACGCATAACATTAGCTGTTATTACTATTTGTACATGTAAGCACCCTGCAGCCCAAGTGCGGGGGAAATGTGCAAAAGCATTAGAGTGAAAACACTCCAGCACCCCCACCACCAAAAAATCTACCTATGAATAAAAATAATCTAACCAGAAAGTGTTACATAAGTTTCGAGGCTTACCGTGGTTTGATCTTGAAAACGTCTTGAATGCGTCTTATCCTCGAGTAAAATCACCCAACAGCAGCGCGCCAGTGGGTGTCATGTGGCAACTTCACATTGTACCAGCAAAAAGAAGAAGAAGAAGAAGGAGAGGAAGAAGAAGAAAAATCCTAGAACCTCACTGTGCCCATCTCCATCCAAACTGTGTCAGTAAAGCACGATACAAAATCAGGTTTTTAAAGAAAAGAATTCTTGAAATGGGGTAGTGAGGGGAGCCTGAGATGGAAAATGAGCGAAATAAAAAAAAAAGGGAGAGAGGATCGCAAAGCTGCGGCGTTGGCGGCACGGTGCTGTGAGCAGCTCGCTGTATACCGCAGGAGAAAATCTTGCACTGCAGTTCGGGGGGGGAGATACATTAAGGGGCAATAAGCGAGCCCTTGACATTTCCAGACATCACTGCATCAGCAGAAATCTGTTTTGGGTTTTTTTTTTTTTTTTGCCACTAGACAAGATGACGGGTAGAGTGGGCTTCAAGGCGGCACCGAGAGCGAAATGTTTCTGTTTTTTTATGAATAAATAAATAACATTGGTGAGCTGAGAGAGAGTCAAGTGTGGCAGCGATGTCCAAATGTTTGCTCAACAGTGTCAAGCATGTTTTGCTGTGCGTTTTACATGCAAGTGCAGGGGAGGCGAGGGAGAAAAGAGGATGGGGAGGGGAGGGGAGAGGGAGGGCAGCAGAAGGAGGAGGAGTTGGAAGGTTTCGACGCAATGCAGACCGGCTCTACCAAAGCACGCCGCCAGAAGTTCTCCATACACCACAAAAACAAGAACGCTCGTGTGCCAGCGCTGGTGCAATCACACCGCAAAGAAAATACAGAGATCCCCGGAACCCACTCCACGTCACATCTGAGATCATCTATATCTTAGGAAATGAGAATCTAATCAGTTGTTTGGCGATTAAAGCATCCGCTTTCCTTTCCGTCTCTTAATGATTTAAGGATTAAATCGTTAGTTGGTCGCGTCAAGGACTTCGATGCGCAAGTCTGTATCTGAGCCAGTGCATACCAGATTCGGTGTAGTAAGTTTGAACATTGCACTAATGAAGAGCGTGCTACATTTTACTCATCAGCAATCGGTTTGAAGCCCTTAAAGCTACAAAGTACTGCTTCCTCTCCAGGCTGTGCAGCTCTCACATCCGATTCTTTATCATACGGAGTTTGAAAGGTTCCTCAGTGGTGAAGTCGCTGTTAGATTTTGGCCCCTGAAGGCATGCAGGTGTACCAAAAAAGGTGGGGAATTTTCCATAATGCTCCGCTGATGACTTTCAGCACCGCGGACAGCGCAGATGATTGATCGACGTCTGAAAACTTCCTTCGAAACAAAAATGAATAAAAATAAAATAGACGCACTGACAACGAAGCAAGTAAATAATCTGCTCCATTAGTTAATTGCTGAGCTGTATGCAGATACCTGACGGTGTGAGCAGATGGGCTCCTCTTACTTAAAGCAAGCATCTTCTAACTTTCAAAAACACAGAATAAACACAAAAGTCGGGTGATCGGATTTCTGTCTAATTTCTTAAAATGTGCTTAAAGACAAACCCCTTCATTTATCACTATGACATTTTATTAGGTTAATTGGTTTCGTGGCAAGACAATCCGATGTCTGCTTCTGCGCCCATTTTCCACGATTCAGCACCAAAAGTGATAAAAACGTATTAAACTAATTAGTGAGCATAGATTTTATTATTTAATTTTCTTTTTTTAACAAAGGGTTTGGTGTTTTTCTTTTCTGCTCTCCTCGGTGAAACAATGAAAAATGACAAGTGGTATTTTCTTCTTCATGAATCATTTATCAAAAGGATTAAGTTAAGTTCACGTTCGTGTTTACATTAGAAAAATAAATATTTTATTACATTTTTAATCCACAATGAATTCAGGTCATGCAGACGTTGCATTGTAATGCTCTGGCCTAAGATAAAATAAAGGTACTTTTTTTTTTTTACAACGTTGCATTATAAGCGGCAAGAGAGCAATATATACACAGTTCTTCTATACAAAGAATGCATGGTCATTTTTAAAGCGTACACAAAAGAATGTTTTTTTTTCTAACACAAAAACGTATGTCCATTACACAAGACTGAACCTTTTCCATGCGTTTCCACTGTAATGTCTCTGTAGGTTATAATACTGGCTGTGCGAGAATAGTCCGTGAGAAACCGATCCAGTGTTTTGGAGGAGAAGAGAGTGTCTTGTTGTGACTCTGTGGGAACAACAAGCTCCACTTAATCTTCTGCCTCCTGCAAGTAAGCACAAAACAAAACCCACCCCGTTAACATTTAGGAGGTGAGGGAAAGCAGTCGAGCATGTGCTGACCTTACTTAACCGCCACAAGTATCCGGGTACATACAGAGTCGAATAGCAGGATCTCGGGGGCTTATGGCTAAATCAGTAAAGGCCAACTGCAACAGTGCAAAGACACTTAAGCTAAAGCGTTAATTTTGCGCACTGAGGAGCCTGAGCAGGAGTGCTGACTGCATGGATTTTTATCATCCACACAGCGGCGCACAGAGCTCACTTGTTCTTACAGACCAGAGTTCCACAGAAGCACATGTCCCAAAGAAAAATAAAGACAATGACGATTTCTCTCGTCTTTCATATTGACAACTTTGAATTTCAAATTTTTTTGAGATTTTATAATGCAAGAAGAAAATTTCATCAAATTAAAACGTGACACACAGAGGGCTGGAGTCCCTGTTAACACACAAATGTACCATCCAAGAGGTCATTAGATCTTGACATGGGGGCTAAGGTGAAGCAGCAAGGTTTACAAAAAGCAGGATAAAAGTGATTAAGAGTGGGCACGAAAAACTGTTCACCACAAATCAACATCTGAGCGCCAAGTGCTCTCGTGACTGCAGCCATCTCGCCACAGAGCAGCCAAATACAGACACGCACATGGCCAGCATAAATCCCAGCTCTGGTTTACACGACGATTGTTTTTTTTAGTGGTTCTGTTTATTACTGAATTCTTTTCTCTGGTTTTATTTAAAAAACAATATTTTTCATTAACAAAAAAGGATAATGTGCGCTTTTGTTTTCCAATGCCTTTGTGCGTAAACAAAGTAAGGCCACATCACTATTGTCATCTACAGAGGGTTTAAAAAAATCTGCAGTCAAACCAAAGTCAGGAAAATCTCCCCAGTTTTATTTTTGCTTGTTTACTGGAATTTCTTCTTCGAGTCTGTTATCATAAACTGTTCACTGATGGTGTGAAAGCCACAACAATGAGCGTAATGTTTTTGTTTTTGATTTTTTTTAAATACCTGTGTGTTACATAAGCGGGAGGAATTACTGTTTTCTTCATTCGTTTTAGTGAAATCAAATCAAGCTTTATTCTGGTGAGTTACAGACAAAAGGCTCAAAACGCCCACAGAAACCTGTGTCCACTGAAACAAAACTCACCAGATTTTTTGAGGTCTTCTTTATACATCTGTCAGTTTCACTGTGTATGTCTCCACTGGAGTCACGTGTAGATGTGTCAGAGCTTCTAAGTCGTCGCTTTCTTGGTAGGACTCGGTTTTGGAGAACGACTGGTTACTTTTGATCGAATCACTTTCACCGAACGAGGGCTGCGGCTGATGTCCACAGGTCACGTGCACGTATTGGAGGTTTTCTTCCTGTTCGTTCTCTCTGTGGTAAAAATAATTGAAATTGGACACGATCACAGGAACAGGTAGCGCTATAGTCAGCACTCCGGCGATGGCGCACAAGGATCCGACGAATTTACCTCCGATAGTGGAGGGATACATATCTCCATAACCGACTGTGGTCATTGTCACCACGGCCCACCAAAACGCATCAGGTATACTTGTAAATCCAGACTCGGGGTCATCTACTTCAGCAAAATAAACCGAACTTGAGAATAAAATAACTCCAATTAGCAGGAAAAATATAAGCAGCCCCAGCTCCCTGAGGCTCGCATGAAGCGTTTGCCCGAGAATCTGCAGGCCCTTTGAGTGTCTGGAGAGTTTAAAAATCCTGAAAACACGGACCAGACGGATGACCCTCAGTATGGCTAGCGAGGCCGCCTGCTGACTGCTGCCCTGGTGCTCTGCGAGATCAAGGCCCAGGGTGATGAAATACGGAGCAATGGCTATAACATCGATTAGGTTCATCATGTTTTTGAAGAAAGCCGCTTTACTGGGACACGACAGAAACCTCATGGTGAATTCAAAAGAGAACCACACAATGCAAAGTGTCTCCACCATGAAAAATGGGTCTGTGAACGGACTAGGCGCTTTCCCTTGCGCACTTGCATTGACCTGGTTGTCATGCACTGCGGGGACATCTCTGAACTCGGGCAAAGTCTCTAAGCAGAATATAACAATGGATATTAAAATAACCATAACAGACACGATGGCAATCATCCTTGCGGGTCCGGAACTCTCTGGATACTCAAACAGAAGCCACAACTGGTGCTGAAACTCGTTGGAAGGCATCGGTCGGTCCTCCTCCCGAGCCAAGCCCTCGTCCTCTTTGAAAAGCTCTATCGTCTCTTCTTCGAGTTCATAAAACTTTATTTCTTCCAGGAAAATATCCACAGGTACACTGACGGGCCTCCGAAGCCTTCCTCCGGACTGGTAATAATAGAGGATAGCATCGAAGCTCGGTCTGTTCCTGTCAAAGAAGTATTCATTTCTCAGCGGATCAAAAAAGCGCATCCTTTTACGCGGATCTCCCAAAACCGTGGTCGGAAAGCGAGAGAGTGTTTTTAATTGCGTCTCAAAACGCAGACCTGAGATGTTTATGACCACCCTCTCGCTGCACTCCTGGTCTGCTGATTCCACGTCTGCAGCATCTTGTAACAAAGGAGTAACGGCCACAGTCTCTTCGTGGTTCTCCACCACAGTCATCTTTTTCACCCCGCCGAGGGTAAACCCGTCACTCACCTCCTTGGAGGCTTCCTCTTGCCCTTTTGCTTGCACTCCCTCCTGTCTCTCTTTCTCATGCAGCCGCCCGAGATTCAGGCCAAGTCCCTCCTTTTCTTTCTTTCTTTCTTTTTTTTAAATCTAAAACTAATTTTACTTGGTGATATGCAAAATGATTTGGTTGTTTATTTACGCCGCCCTTTTGTCAGGTTAGTGCCTCTGAACTGTCAACTTTCAGTGGTGCACACAGATCTCCACTTGCATATGCTATACCAAGAGAAGGCTATCATATTCACACCATTTAAATCTCCAAAGCCCTCCCCAAGTTGGAACACCAGATGACACTTGCTGCTGCTGTCCCTCTCATACCAGTCACTGCACTGTGGCAGTGCAGTGATTTTCCAAGTAAACATGTAGCCTTAGAACACGTACTTTCAATTTGAATTTTATGTTTTGCGTGATATTCCACACTTTATAGTGCCCTGTCTTGTTTTGTTCAGAGTGGGGGCTGATACCTTTTCTTTTTGTTTTCAGATTCAGAGTCTATTCAGAAACGCAGTCTCTCACTCTGCAGGTCCTTCATTCATGAAATCATTGGGTTATTCTTGTTCCAAGGGGAACCTCCACAACCCAGGCTGTTTCTACTTTGGGCCACAGCCTGTTATTTTAGATACCAGATGTACAGATGAATGTAACAAACAGATATAGCTTAGTTGAGCACCATGAGGGGTTTTCTTCTGCAGCTACTCATTAGAAGTGTCTTGAAATGAATTAGATGAAATAACCTGAATGCTTTGAAGTTCTGGGCCTCGTTTAACCAGGGGCCAGTGGAAACTGCTGGCTTGACTGATACTTGAGCAGCCAGAAAAGATGGAGCCTTCTGGAAGCTGCAGCCAAAATAACATTCATGGCTTCTTTTATTTAAAGGGCTCAATTATATAAGTTGGAGCAAGTGGAGCCCCAGAAGACAACTGACCTATAGCCTCATGGTTACTGATATTCAGAGGTGTCGAGCAACTCAGTTGCAATTCTTCAGACCTCGTTAGGCCCTTGTCAGACTGCAAATCCAATCAAACAGGATAAAATGTATTATTTTTCTCTTTCTAACAGTTTGATTCTGCCGCTACAACTAGTGAAGATTAGATAATAATGAAACATACAGACAATGTGCGGCCTACACGGTGAACTTATATGTGCACTGCAGCAGCAGAGTGATCTAATTATAGCTCGATTTTTCCACTTTCATAAAGCTGTGTCAGTTATGTCATATACTGCAGACACACAAGCACAACAATAGCACCGGGGTGCTAATCAGGGTTATTAAATTCAAACGGGATGCTTTGCCTTATTATGCATACACAGACAGTATTTTACAGATAATTATATTCCATTATAAGTATATTTCACACCAAAGGGCGTGCTTCTTTTTTTTACTGCAATGTTAACAAACCAAAGTTGTCAATAGAGCTCAATTGTTCACCTGCTGAACAAAAGGTTGGATCTCAGACTCGCATGTCAGTTTTAGGACATTGTTCCACCTGCTAATGTGTTAGCATATAGCATTCTCCAAATGACTGTCTGGGTCAAGCCAAGGTGTCAGGCCTTGGCTGTATCCAGGGAAACAAACAATAACAAACAAGTTAAGGAAGTGACACATGGCGCTCGCGTATCTGTCAGAGCAAAAAGAAAAGGCTCAAAGAATCCACAGTTGATAGTTCAGCGAGGATGGGCAGCAACGTCCTTCGGGGTATTCATCTGATCCCATTTGATTAGTTGCTAAGAGTATGAAATTGTACTGTGCGTGTGAAATTGTACGCACACACACACACACACACAAAGTATCCATTTAAACCTGTGGATGGATATGCATGTGCATGCAATGAGACACATGCCATTCAGCCAGCAGGGTGCATGAACGCTGACAGTAAGGAACCTCCCATCATTATTAATGGCCTGACCTATGATTGTCAGAGAATCCCTTGGCAACAAGACCAGGTGAGTTCACCGAGCACCTCATACATTAAAAACTTTCTTTTTGGTTTTGTTGAGAGCATTTTTTATCATCATATTTTAATAACTCTGAGAGCAAATATGAACTATATTGATTTTCAAAATAGCACGATGCAAATCATGTAGAAGCTGAGCGAATAACAGATAGCCACGTCTTAAAATGAACACCTTCTAATAATCATATATTACTATAACATTTCAGCACTGCTCACATATTAAGATGAGCACTAACTATATTTCTTGAAAAGGCGTCGATATATATATTAGCCTCGTGATTAATTGCACCTGATCCGTTGAAGCTTGCCTTTGTCTAAATATACACAGGTTGAGTTTCCCGGCTAACCCATTACAGACGTGAGGTAATCACAGTAGCAACTTGCGTGAGTGACCCCCCTTGGCTTTCAGCTCCTCCCCAAGCCCAGGCCAAGAATTTGCCAAGTGTACGTGTGTATTTCTGTAAGCGTGCATCTGGCGCTGGTGCGGCTGGTGAATGAACGCATGTGTGTATCATGTTTGCGTGTGTGAGGGTGTGTTAATAAATAAGTTGAAAGAGGAGTTTTTCTAAGGTCAGCAACGCGAGTCAGCAGGTCCTTCGGATCGTATCGTTGCGGTGCCAGTGACTCTGCTCAAAATGAAATAGGTGGCATTTGAGCCAGTCTGACGTATGCCCTTTAACGCTGGTGATGACAGCTTCTCAGGCTGGAATGAGTCTATAGCGGTGGAGTTATATCTGGGAAGCTTTATGGTAACTCTGAAGACTTCTACAACAATCCCAAGTACAGATAGAGAATGAGGGGGCTGTCAAGAGCCCATTTAGGTTCAATTTGAGCCAAATTTACATAAAGTCAATCATTTTTACAGGTCTGATGAACATCAGATGAATTTTTGACAGCATAATCCATCTTTACTCAAACTTCTTTAGTCATCCGTCCGAGGCGTTTGACCTTCACCACATAGAAATGTGTGAGTTATTAGTGTGACAGTAGAAGGTGGCTTTCTTTTTCCTCCATGCAAAGTGGAAAGTTTCTGTGAGATAGGCAA